GGCGGCGGCCGCGGCTGCAGGGGTCCCGGCGACCGTGTCGGGGAAGCCCGAGTTCTACCAGCTCCTGAAGAACCTCATCAACCCCAGCTGCATGGTGCGGAGGCAGGCCGAGGAGGTCTACGAGAACATGCCGGGGCTGTGCAAGACGACGTGCCTCCTGGATGCCGTCCGGAACCGGAGGGCAGGTTACGAGGTGAGACAAATGGCTGCCGCGCTGCTCCGGCGGCTTTTGTCCTCGGGGTTTGAAGAAGTCTATCCCAACTTGCCCGCCGACGTGCAGCGGGACGTCAAGATCGAGCTGATCCTGGCCGTGAAGTTGGAGACGCATGCCAGTATGCGGAAAAAGCTCTGTGATATCTTTGCCGTGCTGGCGAGGAATCTGATCGATGAGGAGGGCACGAACCACTGGCCGGAAGGTCTGAAGTTCCTGATCGATTCGATCTACTCCAAAAATGTGGTTCTGTGGGAGGTGGCGCTTCACGTTTTCTGGCACTTTCCCGGAATTTTTGGGAACCAAGAGCGGCATGATTTGGATATCATCAAACGGTTGTTGGACCAGTGTATCCAAGATCAAGAGCATCCGGCCATCAGGACATTATCCGCCAGAGCTGCGGCTACGTTTGTGCTTGCCAATGAGAATAACTTCGCCCTTTTCAAAGACTTTGCAGACTTGCTTCCTGGAATCTTACAGGCTGTGAATGACTCTTGCTACCAGGATGACGACTCCGTGCTAGAATCCCTTGTCGAGATTGCAGATACTGTGCCTAAATACCTGGGTCCTTACTTAGAAGATACTCTGCAGTTGAGTCTAAAGTTATGTGGAGATTCTAGGCTTAGTAATCTGCAACGCCAGCTGGCCCTTGAAGTAATAGTGACCTTGTCTGAAACTGCAACCCCAATGTTGAAGAAATATACAAATATTATTGCACAGGCAATTCCTCATATATTAGGAATGATGGTTGATCTACAGGATGATGAGGACTGGGTAAATGCCGACGAAATGGAAGAAGATGACTTTGACAGCAATGCAGTTGCTGCTGAGAGTGCACTAGACAGACTGGCCTGTGGGCTGGGTGGAAAACTTGTCTTACCAATCACTAAGGAGCATATCATGCAGATGCTTCAGAGCCCTGACTGGAAATATCGACATGCTGGATTAATGGCCTTATCTGCCATTGGAGAAGGATGCCACCAACAAATGGAACCAATTCTAGATGAAATGGTTAACTCTGTTTTGCTTTTTCTTCAGGATCCTCATCCAAGGGTAAGGGCTGCCGCCTGTATTACGCTTGGACAGATGGCTACAGATTTTGCACCTAATTTCCAAAAGAAATTCCACGAAACAGTGATTGCAGCTCTGTTGCGTACCATGGAAAATCAAGGTAATCAGCGTGTGCAATCACATGCAGCTTCTGCGCTCGTTATTTTTATTGAAGACTGCCCCAAATCCTTGCTAGTTATATATTTGGATAGTATGGTGAGAAATCTACATTCCATCTTGGTGATTAAACTTCAAGAGTTGATTCGGAATGGAACTAAGTTGGCCTTGGAACAGCTTGTGACAACTATTGCCTCAGTTGCAGATACAATAGAAGAAAAGTTTGTTCCGTATTATGATATATTTATGCCATCACTAAAGCACATTGTTGAGCTTGCTGTTCAAAAGGAACTCAAGCTTCTGAAAGGAAAAACCATTGAATGCATTAGCCATGTTGGTCTTGCTGTTGGGAAGGAAAAATTTATGCAAGATGCATCAAATGTGATGCAGCTATTATTGAAGACACAATCAGATTTAAATAATATGGAAGATGATGACCCTCAGACCTCTTACATGGTTTCAGCATGGGCTAGAATGTGTAAAATTCTTGGAAGTGATTTTCAACAGTATCTTCCACTGGTTATTGAGCCTCTTATTAAGACTGCTTCAGCTAAACCTGATGTTGCTCTCTTAGATACACAAGATGTGGAGAATATGAGTGATGATGATGGCTGGCAATTTGTAAATCTTGGAGATCAGCAAAGTTTTGGAATTAAAACCTCAGGACTTGAAGCAAAAGCAACTGCTTGCCAGATGTTGGTTTACTATGCTAAGGAATTAAGGGAAGGACTTGTGGAATATACAGAACAAATTGTAAAGCTGATGGTTCCTTTATTGAAATTTTATTTCCATGACAATGTTCGAGTGGCAGCAGCTGAGTCCATGCCATTTCTCCTGGAATGTGCAAGAATTCGTGGCCCAGAGTATCTTGCACAGATGTGGCAATTCATATGTGATCCCTTAATCAAGGCTATTGGGACTGAACCTGATACAGATGTACTCTCAGAAATAATGAGTTCTTTTGCCAAGTCCATTGAAGTAATGGGAGATGGCTGCCTTAATGATGAACACTTAGAAGAACTGGGAGAAATATTGAAAGCAAAACTTGAAGGGCACTTTAAAAACCAAGAATTGAGACAGGTTAAAAGACAGGAAGAAAACTATGACCAACAGGTTGAAATGTCCTTGCAAGATGAGGATGAATGTGATGTTTACATTTTGACCAAAGTGTCAGATATTTTGCACTCATTATTTAGTACTTACAAAGAAAAGATTTTGCCATGGTTTGAACAGCTGCTTCCATTAATTGTAAATCTAATTTGTTCTAGTAGGCCATGGCCAGATAGACAGTGGGGATTGTGCATATTTGATGATATTATAGAGCACTGTAGCCCAACCTCATTTAAATATGTAGAATATTTTCGGTGGCCAATGCTACTAAATACGCGAGATAATAACCCTGAAGTCAGGCAAGCTGCTGCTTATGGCCTGGGTGTTATGGCACAGTTTGGTGGAGATGATTATCATTCTTTATGTTCAGAAGCTGTTCCACTGCTGGTAAAAATTATTAAGTGTGCAAATTCTAAAACCAAAAAAAATGTCATTGCTACAGAGAACTGTATCTCAGCAGTAGGCAAGATTTTGAGGTTTAAGCCTAACTGTGTAAATGTAGATGAAGTTCTTCCACACTGGTTGTCATGGCTTCCACTGCATGAGGATAAAGAGGAAGCTATTCAGACTTTGAGTTTTCTCTGTGACTTAATTGAAAGTAACCACCCAGCTGTACTCGGTCCAAATAATTCCAATCTACCCAAAATAATCAATATAATTGCAGAAGGAAAAATTAATGAGACTATTAACTATGAAGATCCGTGTGCCAAACGCCTAGCTAATGTTGTGCGCCAGGTACAGACTTCTGAAGAATTGTGGTTGGAATGTACATCCCAACTTGATGATGAGCATCAGGAAGCCTTACAGGAGTTGCTGAATTTTGCTTGAAGCACTTTAATACCACTTGAATATCATCTACTGTAAAAGCAACTCCAAATAAGTGTTGTGAATGGATTCCATTGTAATTGAGAGAACTGTTTTTTCCCTGCTAAGCAGTTTGTATTTCTTCCCCATGTTTCTCCAGGATTAGCCAGTGTTATAACCTTCTGTTCACCTTGCATGTTTTATCTCGTAATCATAGATCTTCGTGATGACCTGTGCTTCCACTGTCTTAGAATGTTTTTTCTCTTTCCCCTAGTTGATGTGAAGTATATAAATTGTTGCTATTTATCTGAATTATTGATGCTGAGCAAGCATTATACTTGGTGTCAGGATGTTATACTGCCTATCACAAGATGCTAAGAGCTCACAAAGTTAGGACAGGAGAACTTCCAGGACAAACATCTTTGTAATTATGGGTGAAGAATATAGTGGCAGGCTTATTCCTCCTTGATTAATAGTCCTGGTTTTCATGGTAATAGGAAAATGCTGAAATTGGGAGAGAGTTTTGAGATATTGCAGTGGATGTGGGGAATTTTCTCTATAATATGTATGAACTTTTTCACAATGCCTTCCTCAGAACTGGGTGAAACATCCACATTCTACTTCCAGCTGAGAGTTATGAGAACTTTAGAATTTTCTTAGGCAAACTGGTCTCTGTTAAGTTATCTAGGACTCTTAAGAACCATGTTTACTGAAAAGGGTGTCCTGACATCTAACATTGGTAGCATGTAACATACTGTAATAACACAGTTTGACAAATGGAAAGTAATATTTGTGGGAGTCATTAAATGTTATGTATTTGAGCAGAATATTGTATTGTGTATGTATGCTATTTTTCCCCTCCAAAGCAGCTCAACAAGAAGAGAAGACCTAATTTAAAGTGGAGCTTAAATAGATTTCTGTTTTGAAGAAGTTCTTAATAGATGCTATAGTAGCACTAAAGAGTATTCTATTGTGAAAATGAAAGGAAAGCAAAATTAATATTATCTTTAGACATGAAAATGTAAACAGCTTTGAGACCAGTCATTTAGCATTAGATATGCATTATAAGAAAACAGTACTAGAAATGTAGGGTTAATTATATTATTTGGAATGTCAGTCTTTAATGTTGAGCTTCTGTAGGGTAGAAAAAGCTTTCTACTCAACAAATCATTGATCCAAAATTTAAAAATAAATACATCTATCATGATTTCCTAGTACTATTGTGAGTACTGTATATGTAAACTATTTAGCAAGTACTGGTAAGTGCTTAATAAATGGTAGCTATTATTGCTGTTGTTTGTACTTCTGTTTTTTTTATGATTTAGAATGCCTTTACATTAAAATATCCCTGATTTTCCACCTACCAGTTCAGATAAGCAGGCCATCTAGGCCATTGTGGTCAGAAATATGAAGGTGAAATTTTAGGTATGCAATTCCTGTCCATTCCGTACAATTATTTAATTAAGGGGGAAAAGCGAAGGACATTAATTACAGTATAGTCACAATTTTAAGTTTATTTAAGATAAATTTAAAAACATGCAAATAAACAGAAAAATCCCACCACAAAATATTAATAGAGGTTTTCTCTGGGTAATGGGATTAAA